TGCAAAACTATGTAGTAATAAAGTTATTATACAAAATTTGTAGAATATATTTAACATGCACTAGTATGACTATATGTATGTATACAAAATTACATACATACATATGTGTATCTCTAAGTTGCACGGAAATACCAAAAATACACACTTAGTGCATATACATATCCAGATATTTTTATTTGAGTATATTTTTATAATATTCCATTTGTCGTCGCCAAGTCGGCGCACGTCTCATAGCTTTTACTTACTTATATGTATTTACATGCATAGATTTGTGCGGAAAAGTGGAGAACGCAAAATGCTGACTAATGAAATTTTTATGCATTTTTAAAAATATGCAAAACATTTAAAATAGACTGAAAGTGGGTATTTCCGTGGTTTAAAATTTAAAAATAAAGCAGCCCACCCAGTCCTAGTTACATAAATATAATGTACAAACATACAAATCGTTTGAAGTGCCGGCTGATGCTTTGACTTTTTGATGGCAAATATTGCAAATTCAATTACTTGACATGTACATATGTACATATACATATACTACATTAGTATGTATATTTATACGTATTAACATATGTACGTATAGGCAGTAGCGGATCCAGAGTGAAATTTTTTTTGGTGAGGAGGAGAGGAAGGGGCCAACTTTCAGCTAATATACCTCTTTAAATGATTAAGTTAATAAACATAATCTTTATTTTTGATGCATATACAACGGGTACGTGTGAATATACATTAGGGTGGTCCAAAAATGCATGTGTAGAAAGTAAAGTCGGAATTTTAATGCTCTCATCTCCTAGGATTGCTCTAAATCGAAAAAATTTTGCCCTTTTTTTATTTCGAAATCAAAAAATTTTTAGAGGTCGCACAAAGCGCTCAAAGTTTTCCATGTATTTTATATGGGAAAAACCCATTTATCTTGGAAAATGTATAGAATTCTTGAAAATCAATATATTTCGATCGGAGAGCACTGTTTCCCTTCAGGAGACTTCTAGTAATAATACCCAATTATCTATTTTGCCATTTTTTAATGCTAGCGATTTTTTATGGGTCCCCCCATTGCACTTTTGCGGTTTTTTAGGAGACCTAAAAAAATTGTTAATATTAAAAAGTGGTTAAATAAATAATTGGGTATTATTACTGAAAGTCTACTGAAGAAAAACAAAGTTTTCCGATCGAAAAATATCCGAACCATTTTTACCAAAAATAGTTTTTTCCCATATATGTACAATACATGGAAAATTTTGAGCAAGCTCTAAATATTTTTTTTTTTAATTTGCGACTACTTATTTGGACTACTCTAATGTACATACGTAATAAGAGTAAAAATTCAATAACTGAAAG